TTACTGCAAACCAAATCTACCTTTGGGTAGAAATAAAGTAACCTTGAACCTTGAACCACACTTGGGAGAAAAAAAAAACACCTCATATTTTATTCCTTGTTTTTAAACTGGCCTCCATCAGCTTTGGACATTCTATTCAGTCTTGGTCTGGCTACGCTGTTCACTGTGAGCTCCCAGTCTGGCAGAATCAACTAACGGCTAAGCTATTAGCTGCTTGACTGACACACAGCGCTATTGGACACTGCAAGTCCCTCCCTAGCGTTTTTACAGGAAATACAGAACTCAATCTCTGATTTCTGTTTTATGTGGACTTTAATTTATAAATGGAGTTTTGCTCAGGTGCAACCAGGGATCGAAATAATACATCATCCTGGGTCAACAACCAGCAGAAGTGGCCACGTGTCACAACCTTCATCCATATAGCAAACAATTCACACTAGGGGAGGTTATTATCAAATGTACGTCCGTAAACCCCTCAGATCCCACACAAGATGAGTGGATGTACAGATACTGCGAAACTAGAAAAAGCCCTGTGAATGCGCTCTCCATTACCACCAATCGCTGCTGCAGTACAGCTCTAAGAGCCCTCCTGCAGAATAGAGATAGAGCTGCTCTTCTGGACTAAAAGCATTTTGAAGAGCAAACACCCCACTACAGGGGCTTTTAGTCTGTATCCAGGCTACGTCAGATACAAATATTTGGTTTTACAGAGTGTCTCCTCCTAATGCGTGTGATGCTTTTTACTCTGTTTTGGAGAATATGAATGAATGATGTTACTTGGGTTCAACAAATATGGGTTGCTGAAGGACAAAGTGGATATTATATAAAAGCTGCAAGTGCAAATAGTCTGTACTGATGTGGAATTGAAGTATTTTGCGATTCAGTTTTTTCATGAAGCTTCTTCAGCCAGCTTTTACAACAAGAGATACTAATTCCCTGTACTGCAACTGAAGATAGTCCTCACTGACTGATCATGTTTGGAAATATCCCGTAATATTAGTAGTATCCCATAATGCAACTAAATAGGATCCTCCCTGCCTGGTAAATGTCTATGTCTTTCAAAATCCACTACTCCAGTTTGAAACACAGCCATTCTGTTATAAATGTGTCATCTCTAAGCTGAGATAACCTGATGACATCATCAGGGTTATTTTCTCAGACAAAGCTCCTGTTGTCACAGCCTTTGAAATAAATAGTTAATAAACTATTCCTCCCATCATATCTGAGGTGGACAATGTTGCCAGATATCATTTTGTGCAATGCTAACTGACCAAAGGAAACAGATCGTTGAAATCGTTGATTGGTCAGGTGGAACACTGAAGTTGTTCACTGGCACCTCACCGATCACTACTAATACACGAAGACTCCCTTATCTGTATATGTTCATCCAACTAAATTATCTGCATTTGTATCAACATATAAAAGATCGATGTTGCGTCTCCACTTCCTCCCACTGTACAACAATGAAATCAAAATATCCCAAGTATGGCCGCTGCCCTCTTTTCGCCATTCAGAGTCAACTGAAAGTTGTAAATATAGGCCTGACAATGATATGGGTTGATCAGATATATTATATTTAGTAAACTATTTACATAATTGAGCCTAAGAGCAATGTTATTGATCACAAGAGAACTATTCACAGAAGTTTTCTTTTTAAAAGTTGCTATATTTACATATGCTATATTGACACATTTTACTGTGATGATACTTGTGTATGTATATTATCAGTACCGGATAGTCTCACAACCCCGCTGATCACCACTGTATGTCACGTAAGTGATGAAAGACAACAAGATCTGTTGTAAATCAGCAAAAGAAAAATTGCTTGTTTCCATCCACTACCATTATGTATGAGTTGGTTCATCAAGATAAGCAATAGGTGGCGCCAATTCTCCAGTCAGAAAAGCAGAAGAGGATGCAACAATATGATGAAATCAAAAGAGCGACAGACGACGCTCAAACAGTGAAAAGCATTGCAGAAAACAGGATGGAAATATGACATTAATGTTTGCTTGATGTATTAATGTGAGTGAGGTTACATCAGACCTGTATGGAGCCACCATGGATGTATTATAGAACCATGAAATTAAACTTATTTATTTTTCAGATTTTGCCGTTCTTTCATGGAAACAGAGATAATGATACTGGCTGAAACTTTCAACCAGACAAGACAGAGAAACTCTGCAGTTCAGCCTGCTGTTCAGCTACTTAAGAGGCCAAATAAACCATCTAACCTATGGATCAGTGTAACTACTACAAATGAAGCAATGATATCAGATGTTAGAAAGATCAAGCAGGTTAGGGGGGCATTTACACTTTTAGAAGAGGCATAATATGGAGCTGTGGAGGTTAAATCTTCTAGAACCGGTGTGGAGAAGTCATGATTTGGTTACAGAATGAATTGAAAGTAGAATCAGGACAGTCAGTTTGGGGTTGGGGTACAGGTAGGTAGTGCTGGTAGGGGTGAAATAAAAGAGGTGGTCTTACAGCCCTTTCAGGGAATGGCTCAATCTGAGGGAGTAGTCACAGCTGGAGGAGGGACAGGAGGAAGAATGTCAGAAAAAGTTTTAGGAAAGCATGCTGACTGTCAGGAAACAGGCCTACTTCCACAGATGTGTGGAAAAAGCTAAAGCTACGGAACATTAAAGTAACAATGGTGTCTCTTCCACCAAGGCATGGTTTTATTTATTTTTTTAGAAAAAAAATTAGCTAGAAATTGGCTTCAAGCTATACGTTTCCGTCCAACCGAGGTGGTTTAATGCTAGGTGTGTGTGAGACGTAACTTATTATTTAAAAACAACTATGGCGGCTGCTAAAGAGGTCAGTGTAGATGCTGCTAACATAAGTTCTAGCCGAACTCAAGAGTATTTCTTCATTCAAAGAAGAGCAAAGAACGACACTGAAGGTGTTCTCCATGGAAAAGATGTTTTCTCTCTTCTCGCAACTGGCTTTGGTAATACTACGTTATATGGATCGTTGATCTGATTGGTTGAAGTCCATGGTTCATCTAATCACTTGCCAAGTATTCTTTGAAAGTGCCTGCCCTTTCCAACGTTTTCAACAATAACTTTGCCGATGGTTCTGTGCAACAAACCAGCAGATCTAGTGCAGTTAATTTATGTCTTGTTTGTTGGTGTTTTATGGGTGAATATATTGAACCTTTGAGGTAATAGGCCACATTTATGGTATACCATCAGAAAAATGTTATCTAATGCAATAAGCTCCATAGACAGGTCCCCTGCTGAAAGAACCCCATGATTACAGTGTCCTGGATACACATTAAAACGTCTCGCTGGGTGATAGTGTGACTTACGGAGCGATGATCCAGCGGACCCTCCACGTAGGATCTGGTTAAGGACGTCATCAGTGTCACTGGTGCTCGCCATGCTGTTCCTCATCTGCATCATAGACAGTTGCGAGCACAGGCTGGGCTGACGGTCCATCTTCTTCACAGCCTGAGACACATCCACATCATCATCAACACCAGCAGAGCAATAAACAAACAATACACAATAAACACAGTTGTGGCTGTCACACAGCATGATGTTGATGCTTTTGAGCTGGACCCACCTTGTCACTGAGCGTGGGGTCATTCAGAGAGTACAGTTTGTTGGTAATGTCTTTGCCAATGAGGTACCTGAACACCTCATTGAGGAAAGTGTCCGACTCCAGGAAGTAGGTCAGTCTCTCTCGAGACCAACACAGGAACTTACAGTTCTCCTCTGCCAATATGGTCACCTGTCAATCAAAAACAACAACATATTTTGAGAAATTACAATCTATCCAGGAAACAGGAAAATTATTTTGCTTGGCTTTTTATTTATTTAACCTTTAGGGACTTTTAATCCTTGTGGCAATTAAGCAATGGTGGCACAAATGGAGTTTGTTCATGTCTTTTGTCTAATCTTATTACCTGAAACTTCTCTCCTCTGTGCATTTCTGTGGACCTGTACTCTGGAGAGTCAATGAATGAGTTGGTGTAGATGTTGTGTAGGAAGTGGCCTCGGTATGAAACCTTCATCCTGTCACAGAGAAACTTCAGTGTCAAAACTCATCTTAAAAACAAAATGGCAATTTCTTCTGAGAGATTTTAAGCCTTAAATCCCAAATTACTCTCAGAATCTCTCAAAACTGTCTAACAATTTCCAAATTTATTATCCCAATTACTCCAAAAGTCCCAAGTTTATCATAAAATGATTCAAATAGTTCCAAATTTCCTGCAAAAGTCTTAAATTCACTCTCTATTCAAATAGTTCTCAAGTAGTTCAAATAGTTCACTCTCAAAATTATTCAAAAAGTTCCATATGTACTCTAAACATTATTCAAATAGTTGCAATCTAAAAAAATCACTGTGTTCCAAATTTAGCATCAAAATTACTCTTTGGCCATATTATAAACCTACATGAATGTTTGAAGTCCCAGCTGACACATGTTCCACAATAGGAATCAATCACTGAGACATATCTGTCACATAAAGGGTGGAGAAAGAGAACAGAGCTGCACCCAAACGCAAACATACTTTCCTTTGAGGAGAATGCTGAGGCGTTCGTCCACAGAGGTCTTGTCCTCTGCGGCATAAGCCTGGCCTTTCTTCAGGGTCTGGATGGTACAGAACTGTCCCGTGAGCCTCTGAAACAGAGCCTCCCGCACGTGGAGGGGCTCAAACATCCGCTTGTAGACCGAGCGCAGCTCCCTGTCGATCTTAATCTGAGAGAGCAGAGCCACAGCATGAACTCATCCTTCTAATAATCCCACATGAAAAACAACCTTGAATAATGCTGCTGTGGGCTGTGTGGTAACACATTCAAAGAGTTGGTGAATTGGCAAGCTGAGGGGGGCAGATGAGGGGGACAGGTCTCACGCTTATTATGAAAAGTCTTGGTCTGATTCTGTCAGCTCACTGGTGGTCCCTTACTTACACCAAATCCCATGGATTTTATCTGCATCTCATTACAATAAAGTAAGACCAAACCCAGGAGGATATGCTGCTTCCTACCGGAAACAGCCATAAAAAACTCAGCACTTAGCCTGAGCATGAATAAACATACTGTTCCCCAAACGCCTGGGGCCATATTTCTATGTGGTGAAACACTCGAATGGTCCAAATCCAAATCGATTGTTGGGATGTGAATGAGGACATACTGGTGTAGAACTCACCGGCCTGCGCTTGTACAGGAGAAAGAACAAGTGCATGAAGTTGACCACCAGAAACACCACGTTCCAAACCATCACATCCAGGTTGCACCTATACAGAGTCGCCCACACGATGAAAAGACCACATCCTGGCAGGGTGAAAGACATGGAGACAATATGTCTACCCACTTGATTCAAAGTCAGATTTCACAGTTTGATATCTCAGTCTAGTTTAAAGGTTATATGTATGAGAATTAAAACATTAATAAAGCAGCAAGCAACTATTCTCTATGATAAGATATAGTGGAGTCATGGTGTCACACTCCCTCTGCCTGTGCTGTGTCACAGCCTCTCTGTGGTTTGTTTCGTTAGCTGGTCTACTCCGTGTGCAGCTGAGTAGAGCGACTGAAACTGCTGTTTTTATCATCTACATCATACACATACATGCATGAATCAAGGATTTATTTCAGCCAAACCCGAGTTGGTGATTGTTGAATCGGTGGACAGACCCACAAAAACCGACAGGCCCCAATACCAACAGACTGCTCTGCAGCCTGTGTGTCCTGACACCTTCTATCAGAACGCAGCATTAACCTGTTTCAGCAGTTTGAGCTACAGTAGCTCGCTCCTTGTTGGATCGGACTACACAGGCCCAGCCTTCAACCCTCCCCACTTGATGATCCCCGCATGAAAGAAGCCTTTGCCACCCATGCGGGACCCCTGTCTCCGGCTCACTACTTTTCCTTCCTGGGGGGCACTTTTGATAGGTACTGACCCCCTGCAGACTGGGAACAGCCCCCACAAGGAGCTGCAGGTTTGGAGATGCTCTGACCGCAGTTGTCTAGCCATCACAATGTGGCGCCTTGTCAAACAGTCGCTCAAATCCTCACGCTGCCCATTTTTCCTGCTTCTCAACACCATCAACTTTGAGGACAAAATGTTCACTTGCTGCCTACATATATCCCACCCACGTGACAGGAGCCATGATAACCAGATAAATCCAGTGTGTATTCACA